CTGCCCAGGGAAGTGGTTGAGTCTCCATCCCTGGAGGTATTTAGAAGACGTGTAGATGTGGTGCTTAGGGATGTGGTTTAGTGCTGGACTTGGCAGTGCTAGGTTAACAGTTGGACCTGATGATCTTAAAGGTCTCTTACAACCTAAATGATTCTTTGATTCTTTTCTCAGAGATTAACAAAGCTGTACTTGTTTATTTCAGCTAGGGAACTTCGTGATTGTAAGATCTCTGCCATGGGTGGTGTTTAGGTGTCCAACAGCTGTGACTTAAAGCTCTTTGTTTTCTCATTTAAAATCGAAACCTCCAAGAGTTTTGGAGGGTAATTGATGTTGTGTCTCATTTTCTACTAGAAAATGAGTAGCCCATCTGGATACTTATGACTGTAGCTATAACTGAAGTTGAGCACCTTTTTAGAGGGATGCCATACCTCTGGAAGTTGTTGGAGTTCTTTAACAGCATTGCTGAACATAGGAACAAGGCAGAGCCAGTTAAAATAGCCTGGCTTTCCAAAAGGCTCACAACATGGTCCCTCTCAAAAAGGGTTTTAAAGAAAATAAGCTGCTGTGGCATAAGAGTAATATGGTGAATAAATACTGAAAGATCGAAAACAAAAGGTAAAGAATAATTAGCTTTCATAGTGAAAGGAGTTTTCAGTCTCTGTTCAGTGCCTTCATAAATGAACTTCAAAGGAGTTGTGTCCAGTGAGATAATGCTGGTCTTCAGTGAGATAAAGCAGTTGTGAAGAATTTCAGACATATCTTATATTGCTGAGATACAAAATGGAAGCTGAATTCCAATATGCTAAGCATAAAGGAATGTGCATAAGGAAATAATCCTAACTTAACTCATGTGGTGGTCTCTGGGCTAATTATTTTTGAGGGAAGAGGTCTTGTTTGGAGTTGACTATATGAAAGTATCAGGTGAGTCATGGTCAACAAAATAAATGAACTGTTATGAGTTACTGGAAAAGGAGAACAAAATGAAAATGTCATTCTTAACTATCCAAGGTGAATCCAATTCTTGAGTATTGAGTTTTATATTTTTTGAGATAGTAAATGTAGTAAAACTAGGAAAATAAGTGGAGACAGGACATCAAGGAAGATCACAAGTATAGAACAGCTCCCATATGAAAATCTACTAAACAGGTGAGGATTCTTCAGCTGGGAATGCCATCTGCCCTCTGCTTCTGAGTGGGGATATGATAAGCTACAATGTCCTAAATGAGGTGAAGGGAAAAAGTTATTCACTCCCATAATACAAGGATGAAGGGGCATTAAGTGAGGTTAGGAGGTAACATTCAAAAATCAGCAGAATTAGATACTTTTTTAAAATTCGGGAGTCATTGCAGCAAGATAAGTTGGGTGCCAAAAATGTATGCTATTTCAAAATATGATCAAATGAAATTACAGAGAAGTGTTTTGCACGATGCATTAGAGTCAACGATACTGTTTCTGATTCAGAAAGTACCCGAGTCATAGATCAGTGGAATCCAGGCATATGCTAGAGAATTACTGGTATTGCCTTGCAGAGTTTTTATGTGCCATAGGGCTTCACCTTTGGCTCCTGCTGGAAGCAGAACAGACGGCTTGGCTTGACCCAGTTCAGGTGTTTTGTTGCTCTTATGAATGAAAGAGCAGTGCAGCCTTTATCCAGCTGTTCTGCAGTGCTGGTGTCTTGGGTCAGGAATCTGGTGGTTTGGGGCTCCCCCCCCCCCTTTTTTTTTTTACTTATTTTTCTTATGCGTGTATCACAATTGCAGGCAAAAGAAGGAGGAGCTGTCACAGAGGATAGCTGAAGAAAGAGCTCGCCGAGAAGAGGAAGAAGCTCGCAGACAGGAAGCAGAAAAAAAGCGAAAGGATGCAGAGGAGGAGCAGGAAAAAGAAGAACGGCTGCGCCGACAGGCAGAGGAGAGAGAACAGAAGGAGAAAGAAGACATGGAGCGTGTTCAGAAACAAGTATGCTCCCATCGTGGAATTTCTGTGCCCGTCTGGTTGGCAGCGAAGTAGATGAACCAACACCTCCTATGCAGCACCTAGATTAGAGGGATATCTAACATTTAAGCACTATATATAAAGTGAATAGGGTTGTGGCAGAGTTCATTCAGTACAGTGGTTCAAAGAGTAAAGATATTTCTTGACAAAAACATGTGGCAGGGAGTTGAGTTTTGGTTTGTTTTTTTCTCCTGTGGAATTTATTTATTTTGAACAAATCCTTTCCTATTCCTGATAAATTGTGATGAAAAATATCAATAGAGTTGTATTGGGGGATTTTAATGAATGGTGCTATACCAGAGAACTCTTTTTAGTTACACAAAGTCTAGATGCCAAGGTAACTAACTATTCAGAGTGTTGGAGGCGTAGCACTGCTGAGTTCTAATCCTATGCCTATTACTGCTTTTGCAGGGGGCTAGTGGGAAGGGGTAGGTTTTGATCACTTTAATCAAGCCAAGGAGAACCTTTACCTGGTGCACTCCTGAAATCAGAGCAGCTACTCAAAAGACAAAGAGTAAACAAATCAAAATACAATTTTTCAAGTGCTCTCGTTTTTGATGGGCATAATGTTGGTTTACCGGCTTCAGGAGAGGCTGTGGTAAGTGTTTTGCATAGGATTCTTCTCGCACATGCTCTTACTTTGTGCATATGCTTTCTCACCCCCAAAATTCAGCACTTCGGTCTGCCTCATAGACATTAGGTTTTTTCTTCTGGTATATAATTAAATGTGTGCTTCTGAAAATAAATGTTTAAATAATTGTGTTAGTGAATATAGCTTAGAAACTGCAGTTTTCTTTTTCAGATGATGTATGCTGCTTTCTTTGAAATGCTAAACTGAGATACGTGCCCAGATCAGCACTCAGAGATAATGCATGGCCAAGTTCTTTTGGATGTTACAGCCTTAACAAATGAACTGTTGTAGTAGTTCCATCATACAAGGCTGTCACTGTCAGGGAGCAAGGCCTCTGTACAGTATATTCCAGACAAGTC